TCCCAGAGCGGGTGAGACGGAAGATGAGCATCTGCAGTTCCCTCAGTGGCTCTTACCCTTCTTTCTTCTCATAGTGTGGTCATTTTATCTTGCTAAGGGTGATTCTGGTGTTAAACATACCTATTTTTGTAGAACATGAGCTTTAAACACATGCCCACCACTTCACCTGGTCTCTCACTAAAGAATTAGTGACCACTTCAGGGTTGGAGGAAAAAATGACCGTGGTCAACTTCTTGAAAGATAGGACAACATTGTACTTAATGGGTGTAATGCGTTTTCAAGGATTTCAAGGGATAATTTTGACTAAATATGGTTTCACCTTATGTGCTGACTGTAGAATCCATTTCTCATGTCTCGCATCTCAGGACACATCTTGGGATGTGAGCCTTGTTGATTTTCGAAATTAGATGTTTTGGAGTCTCATCTCTCAGGTGCAGGTCTTAGAAGTTGAGGTGCCCGATTTGGAGTTCGAACCCTTTGCTCCTCATGGAGAAGCTCTGGGTTTTGAGTTCCCTTTCAATTATGGGTCACAGCACTGGGGTGGGTTTTCTGGCGAGGTTGTGTCCCACCTGTTCCTACCTGTTTGATGTGATTTTCTTCTTGATTGCCCAATGTGTAGTTATCACTCAGCCAGCCTTTAGGCTTTTTTAAGAGGAAATTGTTCCACATGTAGCTGTGGACTCAGTGTGTCCACTGGAGGAGGTAGATTTAGGATCTTCCCAAGTTGCCATCTTGCTGAAGGATGAGTCTTTATTTTCTCTGCGTATTTACGTATCTTTCTTCTTCTGTTTTAGAGTGTTCTGAGATGAAATCTGTGTCTCATTCATTTCAGTTGGGGCTTGTGGAGGATGCTCTGAATCGGCTCACTCAATGTAGCAATAGATCATCTGTCCTGGTGTGTAATAAAGATTCAGTAAATACTGTAAAGAGCTACTCCAGCAGGACTGGGAGGATGATGTTAACCATAAAACTTTAAGCTTGGTTCTTATCCCCTTAGTATGCAGAATGGACCATGGTTTCTTGTGATAAGATACAATATTTTTGTGTGTGTTAAATCCATTACTTTTTTAAATAAAACATTTTGTTTTTTTTAAAAAATCTTTCCTAAAAAAATTAGGATTCAATAAATACTTATTGAATAAATGCATGAACAAACAAAGGAACATTAGAGTTGGGTGATTTCTAAGAGATCTCCCCAAAGTGAACAGTCTGCCTCACCAGTTCGTGCGCCGGCAGGAGAAACTCCACACTGCTACGGGGAGAATTTTCCTAAAACACAAATGGGACTACGTTACTCCTCTGCTTAGGGTTTGCCCATGCCACCCTTTTCCTCAGAGGATCTGGATAAGCTTATGCTTCTTAAAATGGCGTGCAAAGCCTTCCATGGTCTGATCTTATCTACCTCATCTACTTCAAGTCTCTTCTCTCTGTTCCTTAAACTCTTCCACCTATAAACTATTCTAGTTCTATTCTATTAGCATTAAACTGCTTAAAACTACCCGCATATATCTTGCTGCTTCAGTGCCTTGCATAAAGAAGATGGTCAGTTCATGCTAGTTTTATCATGCGTGGGGCTACATAGTAAAGAAGGGGAAACGTGCTATCTTTGGAACCAGACAGATTTGGTTCTGTAGTCCCAAACCAGCTATATTTATAGCTGAGTCCGTGGTCCGTCACGTAACCATCCCGAGCGTCCATTTTCTGTAAAGAGCAGTCGCAGGAATGTTGGAAGGAGTCAAGACAGTGCATTTAAAGCGACTGTCACATGCCTGGCCCCTGGTAGATGTTCGGTAAACTGTGGTTCTTATCACTCCTGTTATTTCTACCAACTGCACCCTAACTACTTTACTAATAAGATTGGCTACTGAGGGTCTCAGAGTGTCACGATGCCTTTAAATTTTTTTACTTGAGCATTTTTTTTTTACTGGATTAACAGAAAATATTTTATTTGTCCATAGAAATAATTACTTGGCAATTTTTGCTTTGGGCTATCACAGCTTTGTGTTCCTTCAGCTACAGGTGTGAGGATAAAAGTCAGAAAAAAAGAAAAGAAAACAGTAAATGAAGGTCAAGCTTGTTCTCTTGTTCCATGCTCAGAGCTAGAAGAATCTTTTCCACATGGTCCTTCACATTATACTGCTGCATTCCCCCCACCCCAGTTAATATCTGATGCCCACTCTCTATCAAGTTTAATTCAGTTCCTTACTCCAACTGGATGAATCTGGTCTCTGACATCAGCAGACCTGCTTATCTCTTTAGTCTAGTGATGGTATAAATTGGAGATAATATTTGACATTCAGGTGTGTGGTGACTAGAATCTCATGTTTGAAAGACAAATGTGGTGGGAAACCAATGAAATGTATTTATTGAAGAAATCTGACACACAATTTACTGCTAATTATTGTTACTTATCCAGTGAGTTGTATTTGTCATTTTGAGGGGAAATCTTTTTTTTAGCTTTTATTTGTATTTCTTTTTTTCTTCTGGCTTAGTTGAGATATAATTGACATAGAGCACTGTATAAATTTAAGGTGTACACCATAATGATTTGACTTACATAAATCTTGAAATGATCACCACAGTAAGTTTAGTGACTATCCATCATCTCATATAGATACAAAATAGAAGAAAAAAATTTCTTTTTAATGAGAACTCTTAGGATTTATTCTCCTAACTTTTCTATATAACACACAGCAGTAGTGTTAATTACCTTAATTATGTGGTATATTACATCACTAGTGTTTACTGATAACTGGAAGTTTGTACCTTTTGACCACTTTCATTCAGTTTCCTCTCCCCTCCCCACCTCGCCGACCTCTGGTAACCACAAACTCGATCTTTTTTGTACGGGTTTGTTCATTTGTTGAAGAATAATTGTCCTCCAACACTATGTTAGCTCCTGGTACACAACACAGTGATTTGATATCTCTGTACGTTTCAAAATGACCCCCACAGTAAGTCTAGACACCATCTGTCACGACACAAAGGTATTACATACTATTGACTGTATTCCCCACACTGTGCATTTCGTTTTCTTCACTCATTTCTTTTGTAATTGAAAATTTGTACTTACTCATTTTCTCACCTATTTCCCTCATCCCCCCACCCCACTCCTTTGAGGGGAAACCTTAGCCATGAGGCCTTTTGGACTGTGGGCTGACATTCATATTAAACTCTGTTTTCTGTGCACTTTAAATTCCTAAGGAGGGGAAATAATAGACGTTAGAGATGTGATTTGACCTGACATAAAAAAATATGAATATATATGCAAACAAGCAATAGGTTTATACATATTCACACATACATTTCCAACTCTAATTTAAACATCCCTGCCATTTATTAGATTTTAACTGCAGTATATTTAGCAATATCTTAGTAAAACTGGGAAGAATTGGTACTCTCCCTAGGACACTTACTGATCCACAGGGAAGGGTTTAATGTCTTCTACCATGTGGCTAGAAA